TAAGGCGTGAGCGTGCTTGGTAATGGATTTTTGAACGAAACATTGAATAAAATTGAGATATGATTGTTATTGCTTGCGACCAAGGGGCCACCAAAATCACGGGTTATTTTATCTGATTTGGCGGTTGTGCGTATGATTTTAGGACTTGCGAGGATGAAAATTGGATTTGCCATGTAGAAAGTGCCGAAAGACTGATAAAAGAAATAAAACCATCTTTATTTTTGTTTGAGGATGTGAAACAATACGCGGGCAATAGTAAAGGATTTGTTAATTATCATTTTCGTAATGTAGTGAAAGCGGGAGGGGCCGTTGAATATGTGTGCCATAAGTTAGGCATAAGTAGATATGGAATAGTTAACGCCCATGAATGGAGAACCCAAGACAAGGCCAAGCGGGGAGAGATACCAGGACTTATCAGAAAGCGGGAATGATATTTTAAAGATAAAAAAATAAGCGTCCATGAAAAAGATGCGTTGATACTCTTTTATATGTGGTGTGAAAGAAATAAAAAAACTTGACCTTGAATATAAAATTATAGTATATATGAAATAACCAAGTAAGAGCCAACGAGCCAAAGGCAGAGTAATATATAATTCTCTTTTATTTTCTCTTTTTAGAGTTTTATTTTTTTTGTTGGATTTTTTTATTTTCCTGTTTTTCTCTTTTCGTTTTCTCTTAAAATTGTTTACTTTTGAAATATACGTTAATAAAAATTAAAAATATAATCACTATGACAATAAAAAAAGAAATTAGCCAAAAAACACCACCTATCCATCCCGGAGAAATATTAAGAGAAAATTTTTTTAGACCGAGGAACCTAACAGTCGAACAAGTAGCCCGAGACCTAAATGTCCCTCTTTATCAACTACAAGATTTAGTTGCAGAAAAAAGAGATATTGATACGGATATTGCTTATCGTTTAGGTCTTTATTTTAAAGTAGGAGCCGAAGGATTTTTAAACTTACAGCAACATTATAATTTAGAAATTTGAAAAGACCGCCAAGAAAAGGCAGTTAAAAATCAAGTTCACCCTTACCAGGAAGCCAAGAGAGGCAGAGCCACTTTATAGAGCATGTTAGATTTAGAACATTTAATTAAGGATAAAATTACTAAAAGAATTTGGCACCGGGACTTTTTAAAACAAGGTTTAAGTCAGGAAATTCAAAGAGCTGCTTTGCGGGAATTAATTTTGCTAGCCACTTTTGGGCATAATCTTGAAAAATTGAAAGAAATTTTTGGTTCTGATTTAAGGCCACTAAAAGGTAATAAAAAAGGATTTTATCGTTTAAAAGTCAATGACCAATATCGTATTATCTTTAAATGAGAAAATGGTCAGCCTTATGAAATTGAATTTAATAAACATTATTGAGATTAAAATCACTCTCTAACCCCCCCCCCCCCCCCCCCCCCCCCCCCCAACACAAAAAAAACAAAAACAAACAAAAACGTATACTTCATAACAACTTAAATCATACAATTATAACC